TTTTTTTTTTTTTTTTTTTTTTTTTTTTTGTAGTGTTTAGTTAAACTGTACTATCCGTTTACGACAGCGTTACATTTAGTTGATTTTGTGGCCTATTTTTTTTTTCTTGTCCTAGATCATGATAATAAGTAACAAACAAATGCTCTGTTACAACAATGACAAAAAAAAGTGCAAGAAGAAAGAACAGTTTTATGAGAGAAGTTACTGATCCCGAAAAAAAAAAAAAAAATTGCAAGTAGAACGAAGAGGAGAAAAAGGAATTCATCGAAATTTTTATTGGTATTGAAATTTCCTGGCCTGTTGTTAAGCAATTTTTGGTTAACAACAATTTAACGGTACCGATATCCGGTCAGAAATTGCTTACCAGTGAGCACAGTGGTAGCCCGGGTGTGATCAAACCGGATGATAAAATGGTCCTTCAATCTCGGCGGCAGGTTGGGCAATTGACCAGTCTACACTTTGCGCCGTCAGCAGTCGGCCTATTTTCCTCAGGTTACAACAGCATCGCCATAATGGTGTCTTCGGTGTTCGGTCGATTAAATGTCAAAATTGGCCTTCCATACGGTATGTTCAATTTTTTGTTTTTTCGTTCGCTTTCCACAAGCTCAACATTCTTCTCTGGTTCCAAGAAATCCATAATCTGAGCGCCACGAAAATGGGTCGACTAGCTGGTAATGTCTGGCTAGTCAAAGAATTGAATTCGAATTCAAACGCCAGCTTTGGAGAGCAGTCCATCTGTGGGTTTGCATTTGGAGAGAAAGAGGGGGTTGTGGCAAAATATAAGTAGACGACAAATTGTTGCCCGACGCTCACTGGACCCAGACAATGGTACAGCAAACTAAATGGCTATGCATTATGGGATGGTCGAGAATCGAGAACTGTCGGTCAATTTTTCTTTTTCTTTTTTTGGTGGTGGTGGTGTTGGTGGTGGAAGGAAAGAAAGGTGTTGGTGGAGGGAATGGAAAATGAGAACTGATAGAGTTCCAAAGTTGTTCTTTGATCATGTACACAGTTGCGAATTATCGATAGTATCCATCAAAAACAGTAGTTCAGAGCCCCGGGTACAAATAGCGGAGGCTGTTTTTTCCGTCGTTGTTGTTGCTATTGGCTTTTTTTAAAACATTTTTGTTGTTTCTGTTTTATTATTTCCTTTGACGTCGCTAGAAAAACAAAAAAAAGAGGAATTTTTTATTTGTTTCGTTTCGTTTCGTTTTTTCCGACGTTGTTGATGCACCTAACAAAAATCGTCGTCGACGTCGTAGTCAGTGAGACGCGGTTTGGGCAACAAGAACAAAATGATTAACGCTTGCGTAGTTTTTACCTACAGTTATACGTCGGTTCTCAGAGTGTCGTCACATGTTCAGAGCAGTTTTACCATGGATTATTTCTAGGATTCTTTTTAATAATTCCACTTGTAGGTTTGATATTTCAAGTTGTTTTCACATGTTTTCTTTTTTTTTTTCTTACAGCTTTAAAAACTTGAAATTTTACAATCATTTTCCTCATCTGTTTTCTTGTTGTCCATTTCTTCATCCAATAAGTTTATTATAAAGGAAAAAAAAGACGAGAGGGAAAAATTGCAGCATAGTTTTTGGTGGTTTCAATATAATTGAAGAAGAAAAAAGGGGAAAATGTGGACCTTCCTAATTTTTATCTGTAGTATTTTCATTGTCTTATCACCATTGTTATCATTGAATTCCTTTATTGCGAAATAGTAGTGATAACGTCACCTAAAATTTTTAGTGTCACAGAATGATACGGGAAAGAAGAATTTGCCTTTTTTCTACACTGATCAAATCTCTCCTTTTTTTTTTCTCTGCCTCTGTCATCCTTAGCTTGCTAGTCTTAATCTCTTCACCAAGTCTTTAAAATCTCCAATTTTTTTACAATCTTTTTTTTGGTTGCATTCTTTTATGCTTTCATAACGTTATGATAAACTTGAAAACTGTGATTTTTTTATTTCAGCGGCGTCAAATAATGACCCGTTCCGCTTTCAAGGTGAGGGTGTTGATTTTAAAGGAAAGTTAATTGGTGTCAGAGATGTGGATGAACCCCGTGGTGACCTTATGTGTGCAGATGCTATGCGACGAGCCAAAATGGCTGTCAAGACTGCTGGGCATCACAAGCAGCGAATCATCTTGAACATATCCATTGAGGGGATCAAGATCAAAGATGAAAAAAAGGTTTGTTTATTTGGATTTAGGATTTTTTATGCAAAAAAAAAGCAAAGGAAACTCTAACAAGGGAAGCGCTCAAGTGGTTTATTTATGTGAGCCATTCAAAAAATAATGCCCCGAATATGCATAAATAGTCGTGCACCGACTTTGAGTTTGTTAGCGGTTTTGTAGCGGCTAAAAAGTACAAGAATTAGCTTCCTTTTGTAAAGACAGCATTTCAAATTCGTTGTAGTTTTTTATTGTCCATATATCTACCAACTAACCTAGAAACTGTCTGAACAGTTTTCTTTTTCTATTCGACTTGATAACTGTTTACAGAGGATGATTCAGCGTCTAGTTTTTAGCCCTTGTTTTGCCCTTCTTTCTAGTTTCATTTCTATTGTTTGTTGGAAAAGTGGAATGCTTTTTTCTTTACTGCATTTTTGATTGAGTTGATATAAATTGTGAATTAGAGAAATATATGTCGGAAGCAAGTATAGGGTTAATCGAGGATTAATTGTTAAAAGTTTATGGACAGAAATGAATAAAGGTAGGAAATTTCGTCTGACGGGACACTACATAATAGTTATAGTAGTACAAATTTGGACAGGTTGACAAATTACCACTACGTCTGTAGTAGTATGTCATTTATATTAGCATAGATATTATGCAAATGGTGGAGCATATTTAGTAAGTAGTTAAAAAACGGATAAATCCTTTCTTCACAGAAATGCTTTAGAA